TAAGCTTTAAATCTGCAGTTTATCAAATGCCTCTGAGTTGTCCTTACCTTTAAATCTAACCTCTCTTCTTCCTTTCTTTCCTCATCTCTCAGTAAAGTCACCGCACAGTCTTTTCTCTCCCTGTGAAATATAGCTGCTGCACCTTTAGCTAGCAGAAACCTTGCGGCAGACTGCATGCAACCAGTTTGTGCGTTTGCTGATATTTGTTGAGCTGATAGGAACGTTGCATTTGAAATTACCAGCCACATTAAAAAAACATTGTTCCCCTCAGGATTATCTTTTGTATCATTGTTCTCTTTTATTTAGGCTCAAATTGATTCGATGTTTGAAGGCGCACAAAGCTGGGAAATAAGAACCTTATTTAAATGCGTTAAAGCTAAAGTAAGGAGGCTCTTTAGAACATGTAAGCAGTAGAAAGTACAGATGTTTGTGTAAATATGTTCAAAGATAAAGTAAAAAGTTGTCAGTAACCTTACTTTGTTACTTCTCACCTCTGACCAAGGCTATTTTGAGCAAAGAGTTAGCTTTTCACCTTTTCCGTCAGCACACACTTGTTTAATCAGTATGTCCTCCACACTATTCTTACCAACATGGTCTCATTCTGGGGCATCACATGAAGCCATTCTGTCAGATGCCACCTGCGTCACCCTTGATGTACGCCATGAGATAACAGCCTTACAAATATAACTATAAGAACATAGAAGAGATGCTGATAGTCAAGAGCCCAATGTGTCCAAACTGTTACATGTTTGAAATATAAAAACAGGTGTGACTGTAAAGGAGCTTAAAGATCCACTCTGAGTGTGCTTTTAATAAAAGCAGTCATGGAGAAAATGTACAATTTCCCTGTGGTACAAAAGTGTATTATAAAGTGTGGAGGATGTAATAGATTAAAGCTTCAGTTGTTCCATAATCAAATGAAGTTTATACGACTGATAAACATATTCCATGTTTGTCTATATTTAAGGGATAATAAGACAGGACGTGCTTTTGAAATTAAGAGGCTCCAACCTGAAGATACTTTGAAGCTGAGCCTTTTATTGTCTTCAAAGACATGTTTGAATAGAAACCTGCACCAAACAGGGACCTGCTCATCAGGTTATCCTTTAATGAACTACACTAACAGGAGGACATGTGGACACATTGATATTGTATTATTGAAAGAATCGACCCAATCTTACAGCCTATAGTGATTTCTAATTCATTAACAGCTCTCTTTTGTTTTCACACAGCTATCACACAGGAAACGAGTTTAGCAAAATTCTTAATTCTTTCATTTGGGTTTTTAGCTCAGCTTAGTTTAATAGACAAAGGTACAAAACTTTTGACTTTATAATCAGACAAAAAGTAACTTGTAAATTGGTGTTTGTGAAAAAGAAAATCAAAGAGTGTAAGAGAGGCAGCTGTGATGTAGGTGTATGTGTGAATGTTACCCTGAGGTGAGAAACAGCTGGAATAGCTGGAGGCTTCGGTAGTCTGGTAATTAACTGTAGGGGTGTTACCATAGAAATGTGACAGTATAGACGGCTTTCTTCCTGAAAAGATGGATTTGCTGCACAACTATTTGGGAGAATATGACTGGATGGGTATGAGTGAGTAAACAAGTACCACTTAAAATCAATATTGTGTGAAAATGAATCACTAGCTTTAGTAATATTCTGCAGAAATTAAATATTTAGGATAAATAACTATATGACATACTTCTTGACCCCCAAATTAATTGGAATTTACTTTAAATCACAATAAAAGTTTAAATTCTTGAAAGGAATGCATCTACATTCATGCAATGCTTTAAATACATTTTGATTGTAGGGTTTAGGTTTATAAAATAAGTATTCAAAAGCCCCTTATGGTAAAAAGCAGATATAATATATTAGACATAATATAATATTGGGAAGATCTCCAGCTGGTCTCAATGAAGTTGATAATATATTTTATGAATCTTAAAAAGTATTCAAAAAGTTAACATAAGTGTGTATAAAAACGAATCACCCGATTTAAATAAATGGAAATGTATAAGAATACAATTATAGGAAAAAACAATACATTCAAATCAATGAATATGGAGGATGTATTTGGACTCAACGAGAAAAGCGCTGTGTTAATGAATCTTGAAGCAAATGATTGTAATGAACTAAATATGTTTTCCTCAATTTCTATGATGAACCACAAACCCTTAAATTTACATTCACAAATCTGACTGTGTATTTAATGATTATTAAGATTTTTTCCATGTTTATTGAAAACTGATGGTAAATATTACAATTAATGATTGTAAAACATTGTGATCTGACATCAATCTGATGCACTCATCAGAATAATTTTTTTGTTTCATGGAACAGGTAAAAAGCATGAATACAGTACTTGCTTATATTTAAACATATTTATTTCAGTATGGCCCCCTAACAGCATGTTGAAATAATATCCTAACATGATCTCAGTTTTAATATTCCTGCTATTAGAAGTATAATAATAGTGATATCATTGGTGTGAGTAATTACCTCAGTCTCAGCTGTTACTGTGTAAGTATTATCATCATTGGCACATATCGAGTATGTCATATCTAAACTCCAATAATCAGACTCAAACGTATTTTTTTTTAAAAGAAAGACCCTCGAGTCAACATGAAAAAAGTGGTTAAAGTAAATAGATCCCGGTTTTGTGTGTGGACTCACGTGGTTTCTTGGTGGTGATATTAAAAGGTGGGCTGCAGGGTCCAAGTCCAGCACTGTTCTGGGCTCTGACTGAGATCAGATAAAGTGTGCTGCCCTTCAAGCCGGAGAGCAGAGCTGTGCTGTTGATAACCCTCACTCTGTCTGCTTCACTCTGCTCCAATCCTTCCTCCCAGAAGAGAACCTGGACCAAAGAGACATGAGTTACCACAGACCTCTGAGCATAGTGCCTGCCTTTTCATTTTTTCCTTTTAAACTGTTTTTATATCTGTGAAGCTATGGCATCTGAGTCAAGGTAGCCTGTTTCCCCCCTGTCTGGCCATTAAGATAGTCACATCATGATTATGAAGTAAAACATCCCGCACAATGTCATTTCAGAGTGCATATGCTGTAGATTCAAAGTACATATGTATGTTTAAGCAATACCAGCTGACACATAGTACAAAGGAACAGACCTATGGATAAGATACAGATATCAGGTTTAAAGGAGCATCACTTTAGTGCTTCCACTTTATCGACTTAGCTATTGTAAGTCTCCGGGCAGTCCAACACGTATTTTCAAACTACCAAATGATACTGTATCAGACAATCAGCAATATCACAAGCAGCAGTGAGAGTGAACAGTAGCAGAGCTTGTCAGAATCTGTATTCACTGAGAGACTGTTTATGGCCCAAACACAAGACAGGAAAACCAGACAGGGAAATGTCAAACAGATGGTCTGAATGTAGGTACTTATTTAACCGAGTGCACACGGTTTTTTTAGGATCTTGCTTGGGAGAGGCAGATTAGCAATAGGGCCTGGAGTTGCTGATAACAGAAGCATCTAGGGTGTTTTCTCCAACTGAATTTTAATTATAGAAGACTTTTCAAACACTTGGGAAAAATCTCTGAAATACCTGAGCACAAGAAGTTCACAGTTCTTATAGCACCTCTGCAAAGAATCTAAACACTCACTCAAAGAGGGATCGAAGAAGGCTTAAGCTGTCTCGCTGAATCTTATGCTGTCTAATAGAGACAGTGACAGTGAAATATGTCATACCTGCAACATAAATTGCGGTTGTGTGTGGTAAACATGAACAGTAAGTGCTGCTGATTTTACATTATATTATACATTCCAATACTAGATAACCAAGCAGGACAGGTGCTGTTTGAAAAGGAAAGAGCTGTAACTACAAATTAGGACTCTTTCCTTTTCTTAGTATGAAGTTAATTCATAAAAAGTGTCACATTGCATACATGTGGAAATATCCATCCATCCATCCACTGGAGCACAGGTAGTGACACAGCAAATGTTTGGGAGTGGGGTGGGGGGTGTCACTACATTGATGCAATGCATTTCTATTGATGGCCTCACAATATTCCACTGATTTTGCAGTAACAAAAAAAA